AGAAAACAAATATATTAAAACCGGAGACAAGAGCTGACTGAGATTTTTCTACCTTACAGGTTACTCAGGCACCTTTCCCGCACCACCAGCCACGGAGGAAGGAGAAGTTGAAAACCTCAGGGATTTGCACCACCCTTCCAATAGCAGCTTGAGAAAAGGAAGGAGGGGGGAGGGAAAAAAAACCAAACCAAAAAAATGCACAGTGTTCTCTCAAGTTAAAAGAGTTCTCCTTTGCTTGCGTTTGCATAGAAATTCCCGTAGGTCAGCACCAAGATCAGGTACACCCCTGTCCTACACCCCGGCTCCCCCAGGTCCGACGCTCCCCGCAGTCAGTGGCTGTGTTACAGGAGGGTTCAACTATCCGCAGAGGAACTACATGGTCATGTTAAAAAAACAAAACAAAACACAAAAACGAAAACAAAAGTGCATCACACATTCTTGATTTTCAGGGTTATACTTATAGCAGCAGCAGCATTAATCCAAGACAATGAACAGCTGTAGATTCGTTCTTAAAATGCAGCAACACTCAATGAAATGTCTTCGGGGAAGGGCATAAGAGGGTCCTTCTCAAAAGGATAAAAAATGAAAATTAGACTATTCAATGTGGACAAAAAGGAGATACAACAAAAATTAAAGACACAATCTTATTTACATTAAAAAAAACCCCCAAACATTCTTGTTAAAATATCTTTACAACACCTAAGCAAAAAAATATGTATTTTAAGAATAAAGCAGAAACTCCTAAAGCAGTATCCATTTTTGGAACCCTTATTTAGCACCTGAGGAAAGACCGTATGGAAAGCAGACAGGTTGGGTTTTTTTGTTGGTTTTTTTGTTTTTTAAGAAAACTGTAAATTGTCTTTTTACTAAACAGAAATTCGCAGTACACGAGTTTCATACCACAGAAAGAAATGAGCAATTTTTTTTGTTGTTGTTTTCTTTTTAAAGATACTCTACTCATTAATAAGGCTGTAGAAAAGGGACACTGCTATCTTACAAAATGGCTTTAGAGCTCTGGACACGTTATATGAAGCTTTCTCATTAACAGTCAAGACAAATCCAGCTCAGCATCCCCCGGTGAGGGCGCAGGCAGGACTCCTGCTCCTGTCCCAGGACAGGGAGCAGGCTCATGCCCTGGACATGAGGCCACCACAGGGTTCTTGTATCTCCCCAGACATCCATGGCTCTGCAATGCCACTTTTGAGGATCTCAGGTAGGACAGAGGCAGCCAGCCTGACCCTTGGGTGTAACATGCACTGGGCAAACCTCTAAAGCTCTGTAATCCCTGGGAGGCAGCACATCCACAGTGCACACCGAGATCTCCTCCTTCCCACCAGCCCAGGTTCCTGCTTTCCAATTGCTTCCACTAGGGCTTTTCCACATGGAAAAATGCTCTGGTGGTGGCCAAAGCTAGAATTACTCTGGCTTTTTCAGCTACTCCACGACACCAGCCCTTCTCCTGCCTTCCTCACCACTGTGAAAATGTGTAGAAGCTTTAAATTGGGTGAATCCTTGCTCTCTTCCCTCCTGACCTCGACCATCTCCCTTGTAAACAGCCTCTGTAAGGAAAACAAATCACAACGGATGGATGGAAGAAAAATCTTCTAGGGATAAGAGGATAAGACTCCTGAAAGCTTGGGACACCATAGCAATTTACTGAAGATGCTGAATCAAGATCAAAAACAATGCACAGGAAAACTACCAGCAGTTCTGAAACACGGCTGTGAATGCCATCGCTCCCAGATGTCCCCAAGGTCACCCACTGGCCACTTGGGAAAGGATGTGATGGTGCTACAGTGTGAAAGCACTAATTACAAGCACAACTGGGAGGACAACTTCCATCTCTCTTTCTTTCTTTCTTTTTCCTAGCAGGAAGCAATTTTCCTTTCCCTTTAGCTGGTTGGTTCACCCATCACCGCTCCCAGCCACCAAACAGTGGATTTGCAACCTAATGAGAACTGGGGTTTCTTTCCACGTTTTGAAGAAGGTCACAGCAGCTACCGAAGGCAAACAGAGGGATTTAATGGTTCTGAAAGGTTCAAAGTGGGTTAGTGGCAGAATCCATGCCCTGGAGCTACCCACCGGTCAAAGAGAAAAGAGATTTCTAACAGGTTTCACAGAGGATCGTGGTGGGTTTAAACCAAAACCAAACTCTAACCAAACCTTGAAAGGAAACACACTGCCAATCTACCAGATGGGTGAAGTGGGAGAGAGCAGAGGCTGAAGGCCCCAAACCACTGTCACCAGGAACAGAGAGCAATTTTTAAATTACCTCTTGGAGCAGATGAAATGCCCCCTGATCCACCAAAGAGCACGCAGATTCCGAGCTGGATCTGGCTGGCACTTCAGCCTCTGTTACACAAGACCCTGTACAGGAAACGCCCAGAAGAACCTGCTGGTGGAGGAGGAATGGTGGGGAATGAATGACCAGAGGAGAAAGGAGACAGCCCCTGTCCTCACAGGAATCCTCACTCCAGTAAACACACAGCTTGCCAAGGAAACTCACAACAGGAACAGAAATGAGAGAGAATCCTTAACCTGAATTAGTATCTTCATAGCTAATAAAAAAATAGGTCATGATCTCACCCTTAGTGCCACTTTCCAATACTACACATACTTAAGGGGGTTTTGTTTTAAAACTTACTTTACTCAGTGTAATGAAAACAATGGCACAAATAAATACACGCTCGCTCTCCTTACACATCAGATGCTCACACGCACCGCCGGCTCCTCGCCCCCACAGACACCCTCGGGTGCAGACCCAGGACAGGAGGCTGCTGCTCCCCTTCCCAGGCTGTATTTGGTTTATGCTACAGTACTAATACTCTGAGTCAAACAAAAACAAAACATGAGACTTATCGGTAACACCTTATCGTTATTTCAATGTGCTAAATTAGTCACAGCTCAATTTCAGGTTTTTTTCTTTTTTCTTTTTTTTTTTTTTTTTATAAGTTTACACAAAAATAATCAGAAAACAGATTAAATCTTAAGATATTTTTAATAAGTGCTCAGTTAAGAATTGTGTGAGGACTTGGGGAGGACTGCAGACAGCACAGGGCGAGTTACACGACAGCACGAGGAAGTTCCTTCCACGGTCCTGCCTGGCTCTAGGCAATAGTCTATCCCAGAAATCCTGGGGAGCCGGAGCTACAGGAGCTGAGAGAGAGGAATTCCTAACTGCTTAGCGCTGAGCACACACCATGGAGCTCACGGAGACAGAAGGACAGACGTCTGAACAGAGGATGGTCAGAAATACAGCAGAGAAGGTGCTGCCGAGGGTGTTTCTGGATGGGTCCCGCTGGCGAGGGGCCACGCACAGCGAGGCAAAGCCACAGGGATGAGCATCAGGGATAAACCAACCCAACCCATTGCTTGAACCATGTTTCTCTCAGCATTTCTTTTGCTAGTTAAATGAAAGACTGGACTAGGTCAAGATGAGAGTCCTCCAATATTCAGCAAGACTCAGATCGTTCTAAAGGCGCAGGGTCCTCAGCACCAGTTAGTGCTGCTCAGCTCCTGCATCCCCCCGGCCCCCAGTGCAGATCTGGGATAGGAGTACAGGACAGCACAGACCCCAGGGAAGCAAAACAGGGTGTTTTTGTAATTTTTTTCTTTTTTTTTTTTTTTTTTTTTAATGGAACCTAGCCCTTAAGGCGACAAGTGACTACAAAAGGCAAATAAATACACAGCAGAGCCTTAAAGCCAGTAAAACAAACTGGAGACTTTGCTACTAGCCTTCAACTTTTTGAAAATAATAATAAAAAGGAAAAAGAACACTTCTTCCACCTTAATATTCCCAGTCCCCACCATCCAGTTTGTTCAACACTTTAAAGCTCAGGAATGCCCCAGCTCTTCGGCGGCGGAGCCGGAGGCAATTCCGACTTTTGGCAAGCAGTTGGGAGACTCAACAGAATTAAAATAGGGATGTCGGAGGACTAGATGTCGGGCACATCTGTAAACATGTTATACATCTCAAAGTTACACACACCTGTAAAGGTGGTACAGTTTATAGGTGAAACAGAACTATTTGCGACTGGCCAACCACAAGTTTCTGAACCTGGACTGATACAATACATGATGACTATATAGTATCACACTCAGTATTATACTATATAGTGGTTGATACATCAAATGGAGTAGGCAATCCATAGTCATACGTTTAAAACTAAGCGTGGCAGAAAGCTAAGCGTCTTACACAAGGTACAGAACTCAGTTTCATCGTCCCACCATGAACCCAAGTGTCTCATTCAGGAACAATCTTATTAAAAGTATAAAAACAATTAAAAAAACACATGCTACATACTCCTAATTAACAAAACAAAACAAAACAAAACAAAAAAGCAGGTCATAGAATCATCAAATATGCTGAGTTGGAAAAGACCCATCAGGACCAGTGATTCCAACTCCTGGCCCTGCACAGGACAGTCCAACAATCCCACCATGTGCCCGAGAGCGTTGTCCAGATGATTCCTGAACTCAGACAGGTTTGGTGCTGTGATCACTTCCCTGGGGAGCCTGTTCCAGTCCTCAACCACCCTCTGGGTGAAAAACCTTCTCCTGATATCCATCCTAAACCTCCCCTGACTCAGCTTCAGGCCCTCTCCTTGGGTCCTGTCACTGGTAACAAGAGTGAAGAGATCAGTACTTGCCCTTCTTCTGCCTCTATGAGGAGAGCAAAGACCACAGTGAGCTTTTCCCTGTGTCCTCCAGGCTGAACAAACCAAGTGATCGCAGCTGCTCCTCATATGGCTTCCCCTCCAGACCCTTCCCCATCCTCATGGCCTCCTTTGGATGCTCTCTAACAACTTAATATCTTTTTTATATTGTGGTGCCCAAAACTGTCCCCAGGACTCAAGGTGAGGCTGCCCCAGGGCAGAGCAGAGCGGGACAATCCCCTCCCTCACCGGGCCAGCAATGCTGGGCCTGATGCCCCCCAGGACACAGTTGGCCCTCCTGGCTGCCAGGGCACTGCTGACTCATGGCCAACTGGCCATGGACCAGCACCCCCAGGTCCCTTTCCACAGTGCTGCTTTCCAGCATCTCATTCCCCAGTCTAGACACACAGCCAGGGTTGCCCCGTCCCAGGTGCAGAATTCAGCACTTGCCCTTGCTAAACTCCATATAGTTGGTGACTGCCCATCTCTCTGATTTATCCAGGTCTCTCTGCAGGACCTCTGTGCCCTGGAGAGGTGACAGATCCTCCCACCTTACTGTGGTCAGCAAACTCACTTAGTATCCCTTCGAGTCCTGTGTCCAGGTTGTTAATGAAGACTTTGGAGAGAGCTGGGCCAAGGATGGAGCCCTGTGGAACCCCACTAGTGACCAGACACCAGCCTGATGGATAAATCTAAGCACAAGGGGTATGCAAAAGTTTTGGGTTTATCTGCTTCCTGTAATGCCCCACAGGGTCCAGACTAATTTTAGGACACACCAAGTGTTGCTGACCTTGATAACCAGGAGCCAGGATTTGGCCACAGACACCCACAATGAGCATTGGGCATGTGTGGAGCTGGGGCTGGTCAGCAAACCCATTTCTGCTTTATTCACTTCTCACTCTTGCACTGGACCCTGTGACCGTTCCATCTTTTAAAAAAAACCCAGAAAAACTACCCAACCCCCAGATGATTTGGACACTCGACACAAGCTGCAATGGGACAGAGTGGGTTACACAGCTGGAGCCTGCACTCTGCTCAGCCTTCCCTACCACTGCTAGGAAGCCTTCCTTTCCCTGGGATTTTTTTTTTAATTATTTTTTAAATTATTATTTTCATTCCTAAGTCCTCCATTTTTTTGTAATAAAATATATTTTTATTAAGAGATAATTAGAAGCAGAGCCCGGAAATACACAGACTGCATTAAAATATAAAAGAGCATTTCCAAGGGGCAGGAAGCCCAGCCATTGGCGTTCTATGGACAAATTGAAAAGGATTCAAATTCCCATTTTTCTTTTTTTTTTTCTTTTTTTTTTCTTTTTTTAAACTTTTTTCTTTTTTTTGTTATTTTTAATTTTTTTTTTTTTTTAAGAGAAAAAATAATTCAAGAAGGATGAAAGTTAGCAGAACTCAATTCCTCTTCAGTTTTCCATTGAAAATGGGAAAAAAATCCAGCACATTTAGTGTTAGGAGACAGACAGAGCAAATATGAAGCACCTACAGTTGAAAGCAGAAGATACTTTTTTTTTGTCTTTTTTTTTTTTTCTTGCTCCCAGTAATACAATGGCATTAAACTGTGGGAACAGTAGGGGTTTTTGTTGGTTTTTTTTTCCCATATTAAATGCCTAAACAGATTGCTTATTTTTCCACGTTGTCTTTTAAAATGAAATAACTCTTCAGCTGCAATAGTCCAATGTGTAACAGGAGCCAGGTCAACTGTGTGACTTCACCATGCATCCTAGAACTGCAGTATTACCATCTTTCCCTCAGCAGAACGAGCCGTTTTAGACAATATCCCCCACATAGGATTGCTGCTTTACTCCTGGCAAAACATGCGGCTTATAATTCTCTGGAAAAAAAAAAGAAACTCTGCAAACTTCAAGGCGTTTCTCCAGCATTCAATGGAAAACAAACCAGAAAAAAAAAAAAAGAAACTAAATGGGGGAGGTGAAAGGGAAAGGGGAGATGAAGGATGGTGAATCATCCTGATTTCCCTGTGATTAGTGTGTCACTACAGTCACAGAACAAGAAACAGAAACCTTGTCAAGTGGAAATGCCTCTCCAGTGGGTTGCTGTTGCCCATGTAGACGACAGCAGGAACTTTGAAACCGGGCTTGTAATTGAGTCTGTATTCCTTAATCACTTGCATTCACTCTTTAAACAAAAACAAAACAAAACAAAAATGAAAAAAAAAAAATCTATTCAGTACCGGAGATTAAATAATCACGTGTGTAGTCTCGTTGAAATAAATTTTCAGATTCCTTAAGAAGTCTAATTACTTTCAGTTGCCACTTTTAAATAACTATATATATATTTGTATATATTATCCTGTGATTCTAGTTATGGTTCCTCTGCTGCACTGAAGATTTAGAAGGAGCATAAAAGCCTTTTTGTCCCCCAGGAACAGCACAAATGCTGCAGAAAGGTTATAACAGGCAGTCTTGTCTTGCTACCTTCATTGATCCGGGCGATCCATGGCTTCATCATAAGTGATTATCCTTTTGGGATCTGGAAAGAAAGCAGAATTCTAAGTTTTTGACAAGCTGAAGATAAACACAAGAGATCTGCATGGTACTTGTACCTTAACAGACTTTTCCTTTGGACCCCCCTCCTGCCAACGCACCCCAAGCCTGGGCTGGCTCCCCCAGAGCAGCCACATGAGTCTCCATATGCAGCTCTTCCCACACAGAACCTCTTCTCAGGTGATTTGTGGGGATACACCAGAATAAAAGTTATTACTGGATGTGACACCCAGCACCAGAAATAGAAAGCAATTTTGTATACACATAGAGAAGAGTCATTAAATTTAATTCTGGTTTTATTGCTCTTGTAGAGTCTCTGCTTCTCTCTGAACACCCCACCATTATGGCACAGCTTACTGTCCTGAATTTTAGTGACATGAAACACAGATAAATCCAGACTACAAACTGCAGGCACTGAAGAACTGAACTCAGGCATCTCCAGACATGCAGACAATCCACTCTCATTCATCCCCCATCCCAACAGACAGAGCAGGACAGTGCAATTTGGTTTATTTATTCTTTCCAACACCCTTACCTTGCTTCTGCAAATTCCAAACCGCTTCCATTTCTGTGAAGGCAAAAGGAGAAGATCACTGTTATTATGCAGATTGATGTTACCATTAGAGACAACTTTAAACACACTTTAATTTCCCAAGTGTGGCACAACACGGCTGCGGCTGTGCCAAGGCTTTCAGACAGAGCCCACCCCATCCAGTCCAGCAGCACAGCTCCAGCCCATCCTGAATTTGACACAAATAATCCAACAACAAAAGGCAAAGGGATGGCTGTAACATGGTCTTAAGGGTCAGAGGGCCAAGCTGAGCATCAGAAATGTCACCACTGTTCCCCAGTCCTACAAATCACAATCTGACTTCAGGCTTTACTAATCCGACTCTAACGCTGCTTCGCGTGTTACAGCCTCAACAAGGAGCCTGAAGAGGTGATTTTTACGAGTTGATGTTTAGTGTGTGTGAAACCAGAACCGCAGGACACGGCAAGTTTCACACGGCTCACAGTGTGCATGTGCTGAAGCACACCAGGCAAGGACTGCTGTGCCAACATCACTGCAAAGCTGCTGCCAACACACCACCCGAGAGCAAGGTGTGATGCTCAGACACCCGGCTGCCTGCTTGGCTTGAGGTTCTTTCCCCAGTTTACCTCTACAACACGTTTGCAGGCTGAATACAAATCCTCCCCAGTTCTCCCTGAAAAAGCACATGCTTTTGTTTACCTCAGAAATAAAAAAGTTAAACGCTCTTTTTATCCACACTGAGAAACAGAAGGCTCTTCCCTTTAAAATGTCCCACAAATCAAGTCACATCTTTAGAGAGCCATTCAAAATAACCTCATTTAGCCACTACGGAGATGGAACTTTGTGAGCTAGAATATTTATGAAGGCACACTAACTGTACCCTGCGTCCAAGTTTAAGAGACAAAATTTTTAAAAAAAGAGCATTTAGTAGGAACACGACCTGCAAGAACCACCTTTCAAGTCTCCCTTCTGTCACAAAGGAGGGTGACAGGACCTTGGTGGGGGTTGGAACAGGGAATAGCACGGGATTATCAGGCTACACGGGATGTGCAGTAAAGCACAAAACAAGGCAATAAGTGAACTATCCGGCATGGGAAAGGAAGAAGAAAAAGCCCTACAAAACTCATGGCCTCAGCACGATGTGTGCCAAGTGTCACCTCCATCAATCGCGTCCCTTTTCCAACCCTTCATCTGTCCTTTGTCCTCTACAATCTCCAGCTCCCCAGGGCAGGAAATTGCATGCAAATAAATATTGCCAGCCCTCCCTGCACAATTAAGCCTTTTGTAAGGAAGGCCCCGGCAAAATTTTACGAGGTCTGTTATTTTTGCGACACGACAACAACGGCAACATTTTGCACTTTCATGGGGGGGGGGGAACCTTAAGTGCTTTGGGAATAGTAGCCAGCCTCTAACACCCCCAGGGATATAAGCAGCCTGGTGAGGGACTGCCTCCCTCATCTGCCAGATGCAGATTCCCCCGAAGTAAAATGAACCAGCTACTAAAATTACCTCCCGCAGAGCGAGTTTTCCATTCAGCGCAGTTAGATGCATCATTTCCTAACAGCTAAAGAGCATCTCCTATTTTAACAGCTTTCCCCAAAGGCTGGGGACAAAAAACTACTCTTGAGTTGTTGGTTGCTCCACATTAGAGCAATGTTTGAGCATCAAATACAAGGCAGAGCTGAAGCACTGCCCCACTACTGTATCCCACGTATAGACCACACCTTCTTGTGCTGTTCATTTGGTTGTAACTTCCCTGGACACCACAAGGATGTGAACTGCTTGTATTAAGACACGTCTGACAACAAGACAGATGGTGAAATACTATTAAGGACACACCAAAAAACTTTTAAGTTGTTAAAATTCTGTTTAGATAAAAAAAACTAACAAACCAACAACTAAACTCTCCAACCTTTTCAGACTCCAATTTTCCTTCTCCTTTTTCAGAAAGAGAGGGTGTTGTAGAGTGTCCTGTAAATCCCAGATACCTGGACACACTGGCTGGCAGATGCTCAACCTCATAAAGCTACAAAATCAAAACCCATGGGGAAACAATGCAGTAATAGCTCTTTTTGAATATCATCTGCCATCAGCAGACCAATGTACTCCCTTTCACATGTCCAGCAACACAGGGACACAGGATAGTACAGGCTGACCAACTGAAACAACTTCACAGAGGAAAAAAAAATAAGACTTAGGTTAACTGCAATGCCAAACTAGGGAAAAAAAGGGTTTTCTTCCATCTTAAAATAAAATTTAATGATTTATTCTGCTTTACTTGGTAATACACTAACGTGTGTTTTCCTCCCAGTTCCAGGCTGTAGTCACCTACAACTGACACAAGGTGCTGTGACAAGTGCCATGGCCACTGTCACAGAGGTTGGACTGACCTGGGGGACAGGCAGCTCAGCAGAGCCACCACTGCCCAATGCCTGGGTCCAGCCAAGCAGAGCAGTGAGCTCAGGGATGCAGAGTGGAATAAAAGACAATACCCATGAGCTGGGCATGCAAGAGACCCTAAGCCTGCTTTCAGTCCTCCTTCCTTGGACTCAAAGAGCTCTTTTCTTGAGCCTGTCTTCCCTGGATAAAGCTTTCAGAGCAGGTTTAAGCAAAGGACTCTTACAGTTGCTCACCCTGCATGGGAAAAGGCACCATCAGCCCAAGCCCACCTCTCTCCGATACTGACCCCAAACCCATTGCTGCCCTTTCCAAAGACCTGACCAACAGACAAGAGCCACCAACCCCAAAACAGGACAGGCAGCCAGGGAAATGGCACACTTCCCTCTCAGTGGACTCCAACCCAGCTGGATAAAATGCCACCAATAAACCCTTGCACAACCCAGCATCAAAGCCAGCCCTGCTCCAAGCCAGGGGCAGAACTAGGTCACCTCCTGCACCCCTTCCAACCTCTGGTTTTCCAGGATTTTTTACAATTAGCTGGCCTCTCCACAGCCCTCTGGCTCAGGTTTCCTGAGGAACTCCCCGGGGCAGACAGCCCCAGTCACAGACAGCCCCAGTCACATCCACCTAAACCACTTTTTCTGGGGACTATCACTGAAACAAAGGGGTGGTGGAGGAAGGCTTTGATGTCAGGAACAGACTAAGGCACACTCCAGTGAATTGTGCTGGGATTCCTCATAGGTCAATAAACTTTATAGCAGGACTGGTACATAATCTTGGAGGGGAAAGAAGTGATAACTTGTTAAGACAGGCACTTTTACACACTTTTTCCTTGCTAGGCAGCCCCTGCAAACAGAAGTGTCTGCACAATGCCACAGAACTAGTTCTTTGTTCTTATAAATCTCACTATTGTCCCTAAAATAAAACACTAAAAACATAACAAAAAGGGACCATTCTCATCTGATTTTTCTGCTTCTACCTGCAGGACATAATGATTAAGTTTAGGGGATTGCTCAAGAAATGAAGCAAAGATTAAAAATTCCATGCTGTGGAGACTCATGGCTGTACTGAATACACTGTACTCATCCTGACAACTGGAAAGAGCAGAGACTCAAAGGAGAATTAAATCAGCTTTTGCCCCACAGCTCAGGCCCTACAAGGCCATAAGCAACAGAGTGAGACCTAACCCCTTCCCACCAATGGGGATGGAAAACCAAGGCTCTTCCCACCCCCTCCCACCCCCCCGATGTAAAGGATGAAAATTGCTGAATTCACATCTCTGCTATTTCTTCTGACCCAGTTCACCATTCCAGTGAACGCCACTCCTGGCTGGCCCACGCTGCCTTGCTCTATTTTCCACGCTGCTCTTCTGCTTCTTCACGCGAGCAGAGATGCTGAGAAGGAACAAAGCAGCAGCACAGGCAGAAACTCGGGGGCAAGTCAGAAGAGGGAAACACTGCAGCTTCCTCTCCTCCACCCATGTGGTCTTTGCTGCTCTGCAGCTGAGCTGGAGGCCTCAATTATTTGCTTTTTAGCTCAGGACAAGCAAATTATTGAGCTTCCCACCACAAAGCTTGCCATCTAGAGCCCAGTGTCAGTGACAGCCTGGCCTGGAAGCCTGCAACTGCCCAAACGTGAAGAATTCTGCACAGCGTTGACAATTATTCCGATACGAACCCTTTCTTCCAGCTGTCTCTAAAAGAAGGAATAAAGCAGTAAGAAGATGCTGGTTTCAACAGAAGAAAAGCTGAGATACAACCAGCCTCCTCTTCTGAAGGACCAAAAAAATCTGCAAGGACCAGTTTTACCTCAAAAAGATAAGGATTTTGGCAATGCCACACCAAGGCAGAAGTTCAACTCTAACCTAGATAGGGACAATGACCGCAAGCCAGAGCATCACTTCTTCCTGGTCCTTCTAGTCTGCCATACTAAGCTACTGTCTCTGTCTCCAAGCACATCCACAGCAGACCCACAAGTGCTCAGCTAAATCAGATCTCCCTTGGCAAATCAGATTTGTCACCTGCGAGTGTTTCAAGGCACCGTCACAAACCCCGAGCGGCACGGGCTGTCAGTGAAGGCAGCCACATTGAGGGATCGTGTTTTACACTCAAGCAGATCAGATGATCAAGGGAGTCTTTCTGCCCTTTAAACAGAGGGAAAAAAAAAAAAAAGAAAGAAGCAGGGGCACAAGGAAACCAACAGGAAAAGCTTCCAAGAGAACAAGAAGAAGGTGCACCATCAGCCTTGCCTGAACGTTCCCAGTGCTTTGACTTCTGGGGAAAAAGCAATCCAGACACATGCAAAGGAGCACAGGAATCCTCCACTAAGACCTCACTGTGCTCTGCAACCACCAAGTCTCACACCCCAGTGGAGCCTCACCAGCACCCAGGGTGCTGTGGTGGGGTAAATGGGATCCCTGCACGAGAGCCAGTCCTCCCTGTGTGCTACCTCCTCCATCCATCTTTCTACAAGGAAGCTGTGAAGCAATTACAATCCATAATGTCCCATGCAGTCACTGGGCAAATCACACATAGGAAAGCCTGGTTTGCTGGAACAAAGCTACCGAGTAAGCTGGAGACTTTCCCATAGCCTATTTACAGTCCAGGATGAGGATCCACACAACGTGGTCACAGTTACAGGCACAAACAGTGCACATTTGTGACAGACAGGTCAAAGCACACTACCACTCACATTACAGCCCATCCCTCACTGCAGCACCCAGAGCTTCATCCTTGCACTGAACTACTGCACTTGGAGGAGCTCAGGGCAGGAAGACACCGGGACCCCACCAGTGCTCCACATTCACTCCTGTCCTTGCCCCATGATCGTTTTTCTTTGTGTTCATAACCCTAGGGGGAGGGCAGATGTGAAGATCAAACTATCGAGACTTTGCTCAAAAGCAAACAGATCAATCCAAGAGGGAGAAGTTCACCCTCCTCTCGAAATCAAAACCAAACAACACGAGGACCCAACTGCCCGGGATGCCCTAACACTGACCCAGGCAAACCCACACACTCTCCCAAGCAGGGAGGAGGGGAAGGCAGTTTGCAAAAAGCAACTGAGTGAAATCATTCCTTTCCTACTGCAGGGGAACTGGTTGGCTTGGAGTAGGACCTCAGGAAAACAGCCCAAGATAAATGGAGCAAACGGTGTGGGAATTAACCACCGCACTGCTGCCCTGCAAACACACCCTGGCAGCTCTGGGTTGGAGGCATTTCCCAGCACACTCTGGGCTCTGGCTGTAGGACCACGGCCATGAAGAGGAGACAGGAGGCACCGTTCCTCCAAATACTCCTTAACCCAACTCACCCCAAAAGTGAATGAAATGCAACACCCAACATCATCAGAAGTACTAAGAACTGGACTGATCTCCTGCTTTGTGAACCAGCAATCACGTTTGGGGACTAAATAGCAGAAAGACAAGCCTAAGCTCTTTGGAGCACCTCATCACTGCATTAATGACAACACTGAGTAGAAACATTCATCGTCTTTTACCCCCAAAGAAATCAGCAGAGAGGAGTGGTGGGGCAGGAACCCCAGGTTGTTTGTTCTGGATGCTCAAAGCAAGATGCTTCAGAGCAACAGCTCTAGAAGAAGAGCTTCGCATGCAGAAGAAGAGCAGAGAACAGTATTTCACGGGTGCTTCAGGTGGTCATTCCTGCCATTAAATGTAATTAACTCCTGCGTTTAGAAGAGCTAAACACAGCCAGGCTTTGAAGTTAACACCTCCTTGAGAGGACATGGGAAGGGAGTGTTCTTTATTTTCCTGTTGTTGCTATTGTTTTACTGGGATCTGTCTTCCACAGCAAGTGAGAAAGGGAGAGCTGATCAGCCTTGCTGGCTGTGAACAGTTGCTTTTCTACAAGTTCAGGCTGAAAAACAAAGGGACAAACCGAAGCGAAGGAAATATTTGCAAACTTAAGATCACCCAGGATTTCTCTCCATGCTATGCTTCCTGGTACCCCCGTTTTCTGATAGGAAATTGGGATTTAAGATGCAGGCAGACATAAGAATGAAAACAGAAAGCCTGCTTTAATGCTGGCATAGACTGAGCTGAAAGGAGAGGACCCAGATAAAATCAATTGATGAATGCTGTTCTCAAGAATACTAGAGCTTGAAATGTTAACATTATAAGAGGGAGATGACCTGAAAAAAATATTTGGAGTTATTATTTTTAAATGATTGGGCTCGTTATTACTAAAGGCAGGCATCTGAGTTTGCAAACTGGTAATTTAAGAACTTTGCAGTGGGTCAAAACACAGCAAATTTGCCAAAGCCAGCCAAATACCAACCCTCTGCAGAGGGGAGGAAGACATTATCCACATTTGTATGTGGAACAGTAAACAAAAAATGGATTATCACCTTGTTCCCTTCAGAGGGAGAGGGAAGGGGGTCAAATAAAAAAAGGAATTGCCCCTGTGTTGGTCAGGGGTGGGTAAGTAATGCCATCCCAAAAGGGAACACACAACCAGGCTCCTGTCAACACTGAGCCAGCACCAGAAGCCAAGAACTGCCACAAGACCTCAGAGCTTCTGGGGCTGAGGCTAAAGTAGAAAGCAAGCCATCCCACAGGCTTCCCTCTCCTCGTTCCCATTTTAAAGTGTCTGTATCATGTTTGAGTCATTTCAATCTCAAAAAAAACAGGGAGGAAAAAAAAGGAGCTGGACTACAAAGGACTCCATGAAAGCAATAAAATCACCTGAAAGATGTGGCTTACAAAGACAAGGAGAGAATTCAATCTGCAGCTTATAGAGGAGCTGATAAGAAAAGATTGGTCTTGCTGTTGCTGTAATATTCAAGAAGGGCAGGGGAAAAGTGTGTGTGGGTCACGCTTAGAAAAATAAATCACACCTAGGGCTGTAGGAATAATTTTTTCTTCCTTCAAAGCCATGATTTCATGGTCTGATCTGCCCAGGGGAGAAGCTGCAACACTTTGGTGGTAGAGGTGTGAGCACAGACTATGAAGCTTTTTCAGTGACAGAATATCACCTGGTAAAGCTGGAACAGAGCGGGTGAACCTACACATTTAACTCCTTCCAATGCCGAGAGGCTTAGGAGGGCCTGCTAAGTATCATCCCTATCAACATCACTCACGCTTGTCCACGGGAACAGGGAAACAAATACCCCTTAACATTAATTAAACAACGGTTTGCGTAGCTTCCCAAACCGTTATAGCCATGAGAGATATGCAAGCAAAAAAGAAAAGCTCATTTTTAAAACAATCAGAATTGCTGGAAGGAATATATCACGTTAGAATATTGCACTTATAAAAACAAAAGTAAAATAAAAAAAAAAAAGAAAAGAATGCCCTTAGGGAGCAAGTTAAGTCATTACCTTTAGTGTGATATAGAATAGCAGCCCTCAGGTCAAAAGAACCCCAGCTATCTTTCCTTTCTAGGCCTCTCTGGTACCTCTGTTCTTTGGCGGAGGATAGCAAATTGTTCGTAGGAGAGGCCAGAGGATTCTCTACTTCATAGTCCTTTGAAAGAAACACTAAAGCACCTTGGCTACCGGTGTCTGCCTTTTGTAGGTCACCTGTGTGATGCGACTCCAAAGCTAAGACACCACCCTCAACAGCAGTCCCAGGCTTAAGAATAGCACTAAGAATTTGAGGGCTAGTCCGTTTATCCAGCTCATAAGCCTTAGGAAACACAGGTTGTTCAGTTCCTGAGGGAGTGATTTCAGCACACTGTGAAACCAAAGTGGCAGGATATTCCCCTTGAAATGTCACTTCCATTAACTGATTATCGGCAGATTTCCCCACAACAGTTTCGGGTCCAGCGCTGGGCTCGTTTATGAAAGACAAGCCCCACTGATTCTGGAAGATATCGCCCAGGTTCTGCTGATTCGTCTGCGAAGGGAAATCGACTTGCGCTGCACCCAGGAGCACAGTTTGCATATTTGAAGGGTAGATAAAAAGGCCAGATTTCTTTTGTTCTAGAGCTGTCGAAGTTGTACTCATGTCCTGGGCTACTGACTCGGAGGAGGTCGATGGTACAGTACTAGCAGCAGTTGAGAGCAGTGGCTGGGTCCCTGGGGAATACACACTTCCATCGGTCCCGGCGAGGATCGGCCCATTGGAGAAGCTGGCAGAGGTGACAGATTTCATAGCAGACATGGGGACCTGGGACAGTCGACTCGATGTTTGGGCCTGAGCTTCCCCGGCAGATGACGAAGATGACAAAGACGACGAAGTGGATGGGGTTTGAGCTGCTTTGTTGAGGTTTTCTTTAACTTTACTTGCATAACTAATTTTGGGAACAATTTTAGCACTGCTATTGTCCACTGGAAAAACTGGGGGTGGTTTAAATAAGGTCCATGAGTCCTCTTTAGACGTAGCCGACGATGCGTGCTTCCCTTTGGGCCGGTCATCAAACTTCTTGCTGCTAATCCCAGGTTTGGCATCAGAGTTTTTCCGGGGTACATCCCCAAGCCCAGGCTTTCCCCGGCCTGCTCCACCAGCCCCAGCCTCGTACTTCCAAACAGGCTTAGGATTTTCAATTCGGTTCCCCTTTTGTTCACTATAATCAGGCTTGAAACTCTCAAGTTCCTGTTTCAAGGTTGGTGCACTGACCTCCTGCTGCATTATTTTGTCCTGTACTAGATTCAGGTTCTCACAACCCTTGGCACTGTTGCGCCTGCCTTTCCGTTTTTTAGGCGTAGTATATCCACTCTCGGAGCCACTACCATCGTTATCGGCCCCTTTGCCTACGTAGCCATTGGTGATATAGCTGGAATTATTGGTTACCACGCCGTTTGGAATAGACACTCCCTCTGGCTTGTCCGAGGACTGGCCTTCTCTAAGTTTATTTTCATAGGACTTCTCATTCTTTTTGTCCATGCTATTTTTCTGAACGAAGTTCTTGGTTTTGATTCCAGCTTTCCCCAAAGCACTGGCCTTCACAGTCTGCTTTGGGGGGACATTAGAATCTACAAACTGCTGGCTGCCATTGGGTACCCTGGATCCTGGGGCGGTGGCTTCATCAGAGCACAGGCCCTTCAGTGACACTTCTCTTTCTCCTGCGTTACCATTTAGTTCTCCGTAGCCTAGAAAAAAGCCAGAATGTGAAATGTTAAACTCTTTGTTGCGCAAAGCTGTAATCAGTCCCAAACATATCGTTTCCTCAAGCAGACATTTTAAAATAGGAAAACATCCAGTCTCTGATGTACATCAGCATGAACTTATTTGCTGGAACCCACGGCAAGAAGGGTTAAGCAGAAAGTACCAGCAGTGACTGACTCTCACATAACCGGGTGACATATGGATACTATAACAAAGCAAAAGAAAATACAGATACTATTTCAGGAAAATATACCGTACTAAAGATCTCTGGCAGGCTGGAGAGCTATTTCATCAGCTACTATTTCCAGGTCACAGAAAGGAAAAAAATTAATTCCCAGGATGCTTTGAGACAGAGGGATCCACTGACAAGGTCTGTGGAGGTTCAGAATCCACACTGTGAACAAGGGACAACTCCTGCCATCTCCATCAGCTCTCGGGCCTGCAACACCAGCAGCCCTCATTCCCACCCTTGTCCCAAATGCCATCTCAGTAAATGGGGGGGTGGGGGGGAGAAAAATAAAAAAGCAGGTTTTCAAAAGGGACATGTGCAAGTCCACTTGAAAGGTGGAGGGAGAGTGTGACTGCATCTTCTCTCTGCGTTTCAAGATAGCAACCAACACCTCCCTACACGTGCTCTTCAGCATTGAAAAGGTGATAAAACTGGGAGGAAATGCATCCCTGCGAGAGCCTTTCTGCTGCTACCAGCAACTGGTCTCTTGTCCACCGAAAAACTGGTATTTCAGAGTCCCTGGGAGAGATAGTATGAGCTTGAGACCCAAGAAATAAAGTATTTGCTGAGGGCTCCAACTGATCATACCACAAGATTATACTGCACACTCAGCTTTCCTTTTTCCTTCTGAAGGTCAGTTTTAGGCCTCATGGTTGTGAAATGAATCTTGGAAGTGCAATTCAAGCAAAGCTGGAAGCTCAGGACAGTCCACACTGAGCCACCTCATCTTCCTCTTTGTTTTTTTCCTTTTTAAAAATCCCTGGCCAGAGGCCTGTTGCTTTCGAGGACCCTGGCTACAACACCCCAAGAGAATCCCTGGAGCCCCGCTGGGAGACAAGGAGAGCACCCTGTGCCCAGCTCAACAAATCCAGTCCAGCTGTGGACTGAGCAGAGGGATCCCTCCTACTGCACCCGCTCCTCCTCTGACTCATCCGTCCTCCTTCCCGAGGCTGGAAAGCCTTACATCTCCTGCAACCACTGACCCACCTAAGGCTCCATCTGCAGCCACGGTGGCACGGAGTCAGCACAGCGAGGGAGTCCCTCAACAACAGGAGCAGGCAAGAAAAAGAATGTTTTTGTTGTTGCTGATGTTGTTGAAATTAACTGCTATAACTGAAAATCATTGTTACTCTCACATCCTGGAGCCTCAGATGTCTGGCAGATGTAACTGCTCAAGCTCTCTGCGAGCCTGGAACACAAGAATCCTTGTAGGAATCTTTACAGAAATTCCACAACTAAGTTTGCCAAGGGGGATCAAAAAGGATTTTACTACGTGCAAGTATCTGCAACCACCACAACTTCCACTATAACTTTCTAATATGCTGTTAAAAAAAATTAACCATAAATACTTCATCTCAGAGAGAACTGGTAGGGTGGGATTCTCAGCTGAGCCAACAACTAAAAATTAAGCATTTCAGAATAACATGGAGAGGAAGCCTTCTCAAGAGCAGCGTGTTACAGCTGACCTTGTATGACTCAAGACTTCTGACACCACTTGTTAATGAAACAAAACAATAAGAGTGGTCATAAGACCATTGCAGATGAGGAGCAAAAGAATAAAATGAAGAACAAAATCCATTTCAGTAAGTCAGTGTGTCAGCAGTTTCTAGTTCCAATTCTCAAGTATTCACAGCTCAGCTGCCTGAGTTTTCTCCAAATCAACATTTGGCACAGCTGGCCCTTGCCTGGACACTGAGGTGCAGCAACCAAAATTTAGGGGAGAGGAAAAAAATAACCACAGGATAGTAAGACGAACAGGTGAAGAGAATTCAGCAACCTCACAAACCCTTTCGGAGCCGGGAAGGGAGGGGTGTCAGTCTAAGCGCATATTAAAACCCTGGGCACGCTGCAAACAGCGAAATGACTACTCAACTTATTTTTGCTCAGTAACTTATTTTAGCGTGTGCCGGATCAGGTCCCTCCCCGTCTGCCCGGGCAGCACACAGGGCACCGCCGACCCCGCTCCGCTGATGCCAGGCCCCCTCCCACCTCCCGCCTCGTTATGTAAAAGGGAATTTCAAGGGGAAAAAAAAAAAAAATAAATGCACGCGGTATTCCTGCCGGGCTGGTGATCACGCACTGGCTCTGACCCCACACAAGACCCCAAAATGGGGAGCCGGGGAGCCCCCCAGGAGCGCGGCGGGGGCTCCGGC